CTGTTATTAAAGATGTAAGCTTTACAGATCTTAGGTTCCTTCCTCGGGCCATATACAGTAGATATCTAGGAAGAAACCCAAGGTCCCCAAAGCTAGTTAATCCATAAAAACTATCAGTAAGGGGTCTATTTATAAACAATTCGCAAAGCCATTCGCCTTGTGAATCTTTGTGAACATTCGTGTCATAGAGAAAAAAAAAACATTCTTTTCAGGTCGAATGTAATGTGCTGTAATACTTCATTATGGCCACTAGATGGAGCTGAGGAGCATAGGAAATAAACGCTTTTTCTCGATGTGCCTTGAGCTCCCTCTAGTGGCCATAAATCATTATTTTCTGAATGTCACATTCAACTTTTGAAAGGAAATATACTCAGAAAATCTGTTTTCACCTCTATTTGCAAACATTCGCAGAGATTCGCAGGGCGGTCGGCTCTGTGAAATGTTCATCAGTAAACTTTCTGCGGCTTTCCATTGGAAATTACTAATGCTAAAAGCTCCAGTGACGTCAGCGATGACTCCCTCATCCTTCCACGTGGTTGGTGTCTCTGGCTGTTGGGGAAGGTCGGTGTGAACCAGCAGCGGAGACACAGATGTGATGGATCACCACAAGAAATTAACTTCATTTTAAAAGTCTCTTGTGAGCTCTGACGTCATTTCGGGTCAAACAGGAAGAGGGGACGCCGGAGACGGCTGAAGGTCATCGTTGCACTTTGGGGATTCGGTGCCTGACTCTACCCGTTCTGAGCGACCGCAGGTTTTATACTTAATCAGCATGAGTGATACATTGTAACACCCGAGCCAAAACCGCTACATACTAATACACAAGATCCATCGCCGTGTCATCTTCATCACCGGGATGGTTCTCCATCATTTACCATTATCATTATTACGCACATTACCCAACGCATGCCCCAGTTTTTTGTGGCTCGTCAGCCATAATTTGTTTCCATGTCCAAATAATTGTATCTATACTTAAAGTGTTCTCTCTGCCTAGCTCATAACAACCTGGGAGGCTCCTTGTGGCATCCCACCCAGAGCAGCAAAAAAGCTAGGAAGACCCTTTGGTGCTGGAAACATTTTACAATGATAGGAAACAAGTTGGTGATCTGACGTATCCAAAATCTACCTAAAGCAGGGATCCCAACCTGAAAGAAGCCATTTCAGGGAGGTGTCCTTCTCATTTCAGGGAGCGGAGCGTCCGGGAGAGTTGGGATGTCTGCTAAGACAAGACAAACTCTTCCGGGTATACATTACATAACACTTAAAGGAGAACTGCACTTTTTGCAAAATAAATGACAATAATGATATAAAATTGCATTGGCTTTTAAATTTCCTGCCTGTGTAATTGGCTGACTTATCTGCACAGAGCTACAAGTCAGATGTTAGGCATCCCCTGCAATAGGAGTTTAGTCTTTGGTGCGACACTCCCTGAAGCTCGTCCTCTTCTAAAGGAGATGCGGCCACTGCGGCTTCCCTTGTTACAACACTGAGATTGCTCAGTCAATAGTAATGAAGGCATTTTCAGAGTGTAAGCCCTCAGGGGCGGGGCCCTCCTTACCATCTTGTCTTGATTTGTATTGCGATTGTAATGTCTTCCTTAGGCCCCGTTCACATGTAGCGAATTATCGCGCGATTTCCGCCGCAATATCGCGCATTTTTGCAGCGCGATATCGTGAGAAGTCGCCGGCCAATGCTATTCAATGGAGCTGTCTTAACTCCATGTCGCGCGTCGCGCGTCGCTTCTACCGGACCCTTTTTTCGGCGGATTTTGTGCGATTTTGCCTTTTTTCTATGGAGCCCGACGGAGAAGGTCGCGCTACCGTCGCTGGATCGTCGCTGGAACGTCGCCCCGAAAGTCGCGCTATCCCGGCCGTGCGGATCCGCTGCAAAAGGTATGTCGCTACGTGTGAATGGGGTCTTATATTGTACAGCGCTGCACACACTGTGGGCGCTATATAAATCCTGTATAATAATAATAATATCCTCCTATTCAGGAACCAGCTTGAGGAGGACAGCAGACAACGGGATGAATGCGGCCGAAGTCCCTGCAATGTGTATCAGTTTCCTGTAGAGAATTGTATATTGTTCAACAAAACTGGATTCACACTTCACAGACCCATCGATGGCCAAATCCAAAACCTGAGTGCAAAGTGTCTTTGTAGTTTCCCCCCATAATGACTTTTTAGTGAGGGTCCGGTGAGCGCTCAGCACTCTCCTCACGTCAGTAAAAGATTGCAGGCACATCAATACCGCGGACAATCACACGCCGCCACCCTCTGCGTGTGTGATACGAGTTGTCATTGATTAAGTAAAGATGTGAAAATGAAAGAGAGAAGCTGATTGGTTGCCGTGCACAGCCGCTCCAGATTTTGTCTGCCCCAGTTGTGGTAAATTCCCTTCATTGTGTTTAAAGGAGAACTATGGGGTCAGTGTTTTTCCCCATAGTTCTCCTTAGGGTCACAGGGGGACACAAACTAGCGTCCTCCCGTCACCCTAAGCTCAGTATATAGGGAGCTACAGCTTGCGGTATACTGAGACGCCGCAGCCGGGACGGATCCCGACATTACTGTCGGGATCCACCCAGCTGCGTGATTGACAGCTGGCTCCGCCTATCTAGAGACAGAGCCAGCTGTGCCCGCCCCCTCCCCCGTCCCTTTCGCCAGTCAGCGCTGGCAGATCGGAGCGGGGAGGGGAGAAACCCTGCAGGGAGCCGTGAGTGACAGTCACGGCTCTCTGCAGGGACAGGATCGAGAAGTGAGCGAGCGACGGTATGTAATCTCTCACCTTCCGATCTACTGAGCCGACCTGTGACGGTCTCATTGTCACAGGTCGGCTAGGACTATGAGGCTGAGTGATTTTTACTCTCCTCATAGTTCTCCTTTAAAGTACTTTTCCACTTTCAGGGGTAAAAAGAAGCACGTTACCACCCGGCAGAGGAATCCCGAATGAATATCCCCATCAGTCAGGTACCAGCACCTTCTATTATTTATTAAATGAATGCCCTGAGCGGTAAAAGTTATCAAACTGCTTATTGGTGTAACCTTTTCCCACATGTGTATAAAAAAATATATATACCATCATATCACACATGAAAAGAATAATTCTAAATACAATGGGGGGGGGGGCATCAAAACTGAACTGGAGCTGACAAAATCTGGAACAGTTGCCTACGGCAACCAATCAGCTTCTCTTTTCAGTTTGTTCAATTAGGTTTGAAAATGAACGGTGGATACAGATCGGTTGCCATGCACGGCCGCTCCAGATTTTGTCTGCTTTGATCCAGTTTCGATCAATTCTCCTCAATGTATCTATAGGGGTCTATTCACGAAGCTGCTGAGGGCAGCCGAGTGAATGACCGATCTGAAGTGAAGTGAGCCGAACGCTGTTCGGCTATTCACTTCAGGCTGGTACGGCTGATTTCAGCCGTACATCGCTGAGCGGCATTCGGCTCGGCTGTTCTGCTCGGTCCCTCAGAGGCACTGATGTAATAATAAAATCTATAAAAATAAATACATTGAGAAATGTATCAATGTTAACAAAACATTCCGGGATGTATAATACATAAAAAGTATCTATATAAACAAAATAATCCGGGATGTATAATGATAATAAAATGCATCAACGTAAACAAAACAATCCGGAATATACTATGTGATAATAAAAATGTATCTATAGTAAAAAAAAAAAAAAAAATTAAGCAAATTGATAAATGTATCAATGTTGACAAAACATTCCGGGATGTATAATATAGAAAAAAAAAAGTATCTATATAAAGGAAATGATTGGGGATGTATAATAATAAGAATGTATCAATGTAAGCAAAACAATCCAGGATAATAATAATAATAATAATAATAGAAATGCATCTTTGTAACAAAATAATTTGGGATGCATCATAGTAACAATGTATCAATATTAACAACCCCCGGGGTGATAGATGTACGGTATCAAGCGCAGAGTCCTTCAATCATTTATGTTCTATTATTTGGAGCCGGGACGTGATCCTCTTATGAGGTTTGCAGCCGCCTTGCTCCTAAGCTTTGCCACCCAAAAACTAACGTTTAAAACCCCGGGGGCAATTCCTGATTCTGCTCCGCCACTGCCACTCCGCACAGGATAAACATGAAACCACTAAAGCCCATTCCGCATCTTCACTGGGACAATAGGAGAAGGGAAATCCAACATTTTGAGTTGTCACTAGAACAGGAATAAAGGAGAAATCCCTACACTGGCCTCCATCCCCCGCCCCCCTCTGCCAATCCCTGCACTGGCTTCCCCCCGCCCCCCTCTGCCAATCCCTGCACTGGCTTCCACTCGCCCCCCTCTGCCAATCCCTGCACTGGCTCCCACTCGCCTAGAGGATAAAATTAAAAATATTAACAATCAGTTACAAAGCCTTCCACAACTCCACCCCCGTCTATATCTCCAACCTCGTCTCACAGTATCACCCTAACCGCCCCCTCCGCTCATCCCAAGACCTCTTTCTTTCCAACTCCCTCATCAACTCCTCCCATACTCGCCTCCAGGACTTCTCTAGAGCCTCTCCCATCCTCTGGAACTCTTTACCCCAACCGGTCCGTCTATCTCCCACTTTGGCTGCCTTTAGGCGTTCCCTGAAGACTCTTCTCTTCAGGGAAGCCTATCCCACCTCAACCTAACCACTGAACCATCACATTCTCAAACAATTCATCCCCACACAGCTACCTC